GAAAATGTTTGAGAACAGAATTTTCAATAGGAAAATGTTTGAGAACAGAATTTTCAATAGGAAAATGTTTGAGAACAGAATTTTCAATAGGAAAATGTTTGAGAACAGAATTTTCAATAGGAAAATGTTTGAGAACAGAATTTTCAATAGGAAAATGTTTGAGAACAGAATTTTCAATAGGAAAATGTTTGAGAACAGAATTTTCAATAGGAAAATGTTTGAGAACAGAATTTTCAATAGGAAAATGTTTGAGAACAGAATTTTCAATAGGAAAATGTTTGAGAACAGAATTTTCAATAGGAAAATGTTTGAGAACAGAATTTTCAATAGGAAAATGTTTGAGAACAGAATTTTCAATAGGAAAATGTTTGAGAACAGAATTTTCAATAGGAAAATGTTTGAGAACAGAATTTTCAATAGGAAAATGTTTGAGAACAGAATTTTCAATAGGAAAATGTTTGAGAACAGAATTTTCAATAGGAAATTTAAACCCACACAAACAATTTCTATTAGGAAAAACCAAACAAACAACCTGCAAAACAACAAAGAGGAGAGACCAGCAAACAAGCTCTCAGCACAAACTCTTCAATCCAATCCAAGCAAATAAACATCATGTCCAACAGTGAAAAACAGATGTGCAACAACAAAACAAACATCCTCAGCGATTAGGAACGTCTATTTTAATCGAAGAACTGTCCAACACTTCTATGTTCATGAACCATCTCCTGCCAAGAATTTCAATCGACACTCCTGGACAGCGCCTTACCTTCAGATGCGTTAGCTTCTTCATTGCCCAAGCTTCCACTATCAACTCCATATTTGGTATATCTTCTATATGTAGAATGTGCAATTGAGGAAACCCTCGTCTGCAAACCAGTTCTTTCCAGTTGTATGAATAGGCTCCCAAGAGAAGCATCTGTAGGTTTGGCAACCTCCCAAGTTTACGTATTGAGTCTTGGTCGAGATAGGAATTTAACAAACGTAGCTTGATGAGGTTCGGAGGAAATTCACGCCGAGCAGGTAGCTTCACTATTTTCCCATCCAAATGGAGCTTGAGGAGATGCTCAAAATGAGAAAGTGTTAAGGGTGGTGGAAGTGATTCGTTTTCTCTGAATTCCAGCGACAAGGATTCAAGGCAGTGCAATCCCTCAATGTTGGAGAACACAGAGTTTAAATTTGCCTCTTTTAATCCTACTATCTTCAGTCGTTGCAAATTAGTCAAGTTGACTAAACCACCATCTTCTATCCATCTTCCACTCCCTAAATTTTTTAGTGTCCGTAAATTGCTCAAGGTATCGAGTCTAAGATTCATCTGGTTGGTTCCAGAAAGGAACAAATGTCTTAGATTCTTCATCTTCCAAATAACATCAGGGATGCAATTTTCTAGTTTAAGTATCAGTAGATTCTTCAATTTTCCAATCAATCGAGGGAACTCGAAAGCGAACCTAGCCCAGCTCTTTAATGATCTCGCATACTTAAAATCAGATCTACTTACTAATCCTAGATACCTCAGTTGAATTAGGTTTCCTACCGCACCTAGTGCCCGAGATTGCACGGGAACACCATCTAGGACCCTGAGCAACTTGAAATCCTTGTAAATAAAGCCAATTTCTGCATTCCCTATCTTGAAAAATTGAAGGGAGCGTAAGTAGGGGGCATATGGCTTTAGAAAAACATACCGATTATCTTCAACATGGATTGCAAGCCTCCGAGATTTGGTCCGTTGTGGTGTTGGCGATTCAATTTTGTGCCCACTATGAACTTCAAGAAAGCACTCCTCATTCCCCTTCAAGACAGAGAAGTCTCTGAGAAGATCATGCATCCGAATAGTTTTAACCCTTCCAAGTGAGATTCCTGCTTTGACCATGCACCTATCAATCAACTCGTTTAAGCAATTTTCAGCAACACCTTCTGCCACTTCTTCTCCTTGTTGTGGTAAGAATCCTTCTGCAACCCACAAGTGTATCAACTTTCTTTTCGATATAGAGGAATCCTCGGGGAAAAGACCCAAATAGAGAAAACAGGATTTTAAGTGGAAAGGCAAATCATTGTAGCTTAGAGCTAAAACTGCAGAAACGCGATCTTGACCAATCAGGCGCCAATTGATGTTTTGTAGCACACGTGTCCATTCCTCTGCAGTCTTCCTTTTCGTGGATAACAATCCTCCAAGCACCACCACCGTGAGCGGCAAGCCACTGCATTTCACCATCATCTGTCTTCCGAGATTCTCCAAATCAGAAGGCATCCGCATTTCATTCATTCCTGGGAATGCTTTCTTGCGGAACAGTTCAAAGCTTTCATCTTGTGTTAGAAATTGCGGCTCAAGGGGTTCGCTCATTGCATCTGCATATAAAGCAATTTCCTTATTTCGGGTGGTGAGCATCACCTTACTTCCCATCTTCCCACTTGGAAATGCAGATTGCAAGCTATCCCAGACTTTTATTTCCCATATATCATCAAGAACCACTAGATACCTCTTCTCCTGCAGTAACTGACGCAACTTCAATACCAGCTCCTCCTCTTGTAGTTTCTTCAAATCCTCCATATTGCAACCATGATTTACAGCTACAATTATCCCTTGCAGAGTGTCTCTTCTACGGTAATCTTTATATACATAAACAAACGCTTTACAATCAAATTCATTCTTGAGATCACTATGATTGTACAATTTTTTGGCAAGAGTAGTTTTGCCGAGACCTCCCATGCCCACAATAGAAACCACACGGCGACGAGGCTCCGTGGTAGATAGTTGTCTTAGCAATGCTTCGGTATCTTCTATTAGACCAACCAAATCATCTTCCTCGATGTTGGGTGATGTCTGTCTCCACCATCGGAGCCTTTCATTTGGGGAAGCACTCGTCCCTTCATGTCCCTCTCGAGCAGTGCCAGTGATTCCAAAATGTTCTTTTTGGCTTGAAATGTTTTGGACCCTAGATTGGATTTTTCCAATCTTCTTTCCGGCCCAGTAAAGATTGATTAACTTTGCAGCTATGTTCCATGAACTGTGAGATGCTGCTTCTGCAATGTAAGTTTCTATAACATCTTCAGCATCCAAAGCCACTTCTCTGATTTGAGACACCCAATTGCGAAGTCTTTCATTTTTCTCTTGCTCTACATCTGCATCCTTGAGGAAACTTTGCATCCACCGCAGTCCGTCTCGAAGTTGCTCAACTTTGTCACCCACACCCTCCAAGAGAAGTGCTTCTTCAGTGATCCAGTTTGTGAGTTTTTCCACGACAGTCGAAACTACATACTCAGCCATCTTCTCTCTCTCTCTCTCTTATTTCCAACAATAAAATTGTTATGGTTATGGTTTAGAATGGAAATTGTTTTCGAGGTTTTAATTCATATGAAGCTTCGTTACCTTTTTCTATGCCTGCATGGTTGATGAATTCCTTTGTTTGCTTCACCGGTACACCTATCTGGGTTACTTGATTCCCTCTAACTAACGTAACCTTTGGTTCAAGAATACATTCTATTTCTTTCTTTCTGAACTACATTTCCCACATTTCAAGTATCGCATTGCTGACCAGTTCATGAAACACAATAAAGTTAATTGGTCGCTTTGCTTCACCAGTTCACCTATCTGGGTTCCTTTGATTCACTTCCTTACAGCTTTTTTGTTTTGCTGCTTTCCTTTACCCATCACTTTGGTTTACGAATCCTATTCATCGCTTTCTCCTCTTAAAATTATGTCTATACTTGGTTT